CGTCCATCATTAAACAGGGGTGGAGGCCTCCGGGTTCAACTGTCCCCCTCTTACAATGCTGTGATTGCTAGTATCACTCAGCCCTCTGTGAACAGTAAACAGCCATCAGTGTGCTAATGATCCATTGTTGGGCTGATGGTCCTTCTTGAGCATGTGATCAGCTGGTTTTGGTTGTCAGCAGCAAAACTGGTTGATCCACTCTGAGAAGGTGCTATTTAAGAGACTGAGCTGAATACAGCTCCTCAGACTGAGGAAGTCTCTCGGATGAGAGACGAAACGTTTCTACATTTTTTGTTGTTTTGCTTTGTTTTGGGTTTTTTTGAATGTCCAGAGGACCAGATTTAACTTTTTTAGATCTGTGATTTTAATACACCAAGATGCCTGGCCTAAAATTAACTAATTCCAGAAAATAGTATTGGAAGCTGGCTAACAAGTTAGATTATGAAACAATAAAAAAATACAACCAAGACCCCAGCAGAGATAAACTGTGGACTTCAAAAGTTGTGCTCATCCAAGGAGGAAACTATTAAATGCCTGAAGGTAACAAAAGTTGATCAAAAGACAGAAGCTGTATGTTGGGTTAGTTTACAGGGGTGTCAACTTGAGCTGGAGATATGGAAATGAAAAACCTTCTTTAAGCAACGTTTTTTAATATGAATTAGAAACACTAAATGCTCTAAAGGACAAGTGAATGACAACAGGTTGAAAAAAGTATTACAGAAAAAGTTTGTAGGACGGATGTACCTTCTCCATCCTCTGGGGCTTCCTCTTCATTACAGCTGGGTCCTGAACCCTCCATCTCCTCCTCCTCTGCAGCGTACTGAACATTGGTCTCCTCATTCTGCGAGGCTTTTCCCCTTCGGCGGGCCTTTCGCTCTTTCTCCTGGGTCAAAACAAGAACACACTTAAATAAAATAAACCCTAGTCACATTTCAAAGAAAACAAGAAATGTTACTTTAGCACTGTGTGGCAGGAAAACCTTTAAAAATATTTATTTTTAGTCACAATTACATAAAGCAGGTATGACTTGGAAATGTTTTATTTGCTTACTGATTTCATTTTATGCTGCTGCAGAATCTCATCCAGTTTCTGCCTCTTCTTGTAGTTGAAGTAAAAGTTTTTGCACTGTGACACTGTTTTTGATCCCACCATCTTGGCGATGGCGGACCAATTCCTACCATACTGGAGAAGGCCTGTGAATAAGAAGTGGACAGGCAGAGATTAGGAACGTGCAGAAACAAAGACAAGCACAGATGCAGCGTTGTGAACATGATATTCTACATGCAGCTGTAAAAGTTGTGGTTTTCACCACGTAAAGTGCACTTGTTGAAAAGACGGGATATTGTTTTGTAAACCATCAACACAGTCTCCAACTATAAACTCTAAATGTACTAAATGGAAGTCTCTTCATAGCAGAATAAGTCTCGCCTCCAGCAGGCAAAAACATCTCTAAACGTCTGTCAAGTTTCATTCTTCCAGTAGAGACGTGACCTTACACTTTCTAAACAGAGAAAAATGCAGAGACAATAAGTAAAGAGCTGGGGAGATGGGGGAGCAGTGTGGTAGGTAAATGTCAGTCACACGAATGACATCACTAACCTCACCTCCTGAGGTCACTGTGTGTCATATTCTAACTGAATCTGATGTGACCCAATTCCAAGAAACCCAAGTCCTTTACCCAGCCAAGCACATGATTGTGTCTTACACAAGAGTCCACAGGCACCCGCTGGGTCAGAGCTGTGATAGATCAACCTGTCATGAAACACACAAGCTACCTTGCTCGCACACTCACGGACACATGTACACTCGCAGAGTGCATCCGTGCTAAAAGAGGAAATGAGGAGCTGAAGAGCACAAGTGTGTACTAGTGTGTACTGGTGAAAGATTGTGCAGAGTTTGCTCCAGTGCCCCTCTCCTTGGGTCTGCTGTTAGCCAAAGGCAGCTCATTAACAGTGTGTGTTGTAAGAGGCTTAGTTTACACCACCCACTTGTTTTCTGTGCCAGCCTGACAGGTCCTGGCAACAGGACAGCTTCTTGAAAGGTTGTTGGGGGGAGGTAGATGGGAGAAGTGTTATTAATGGGCGCAGAGCCAGCACGTCTTGGGATAACCTTGGACATGAGTTCAGAGGTCTCTGCATCTCATTGCTTAATGGAAGTAGGAAGAGAAAGGACTCGGAGCTGCAGGAGAGGAAAGGACGGCTGTTAACAGCTGTCAATTCAACTCCTGTATTTATCACTATGGCTGATGCTGATTGAATACATCAGTATTAAGAGTATTACTAACTGTTGCCATAAAGTTATTTTTATATTTGTTTACCAGTTCTATTTTTGCAACCTAAATCTTATTATGTCTACATAGACACTCAGGACATAAATGTCATCAATACCAATGAAGTAAAATAAGTTTAACCAACCCACTGGCCTTTCTACCATCATCATTTGTTTACATTTTCATAAATACTATATAAGCATAACGGCAAAAAGTAAAGCTCTTTGTCATCCAGTAAACACAGTCAACAATTAATATTTAGCATTATTTAATTAATAAATGATGAGAATTACTAAAACAGAATGACAAAGTTTGCAGCTCAGTGTTCAAAAACTGCAGCACATGAACCACTAATTACGAATTCAAGTGAAATTGTTGTATTTCCATCTGAAATATTCCATTTCCAGAAAAGGCACTGATAGAAACGATTGTCCATGAAAAAAAAGGATAAACTGAGCCCATTCTTTCCAAGAAGACTGAAACATGTGACCATCAACTATTAACCTTTTACAGCCAAAAGACAAGAGAGAAGTGGGTTTCTATGGCACTAAAACGCAGACACTCTCCAACCTGATAACGTGGGACGCAAATACACTCATCCTCAGCTGAAACAGAAAAGTTCCATCAAATATATAGTATTAAACAACTAAGCTGGACTCTTTGCACCATGCTGTGAAGCAGAAGTTCATTTACTGAAAGGCAAGGGTCACTTTATAATATAGCCAAGCTGCATGTTTCTTCCACCATATGCAAACAAATGCTCAGTCCCAAGCTCGTTGACTCAGACTTATACAGAGAAAGAACACACATGAGGAAAACATCCAATAAGCAGTAGCAATACTAAAACAGGTGGTTAACTCCACATCCAATCACAACACTGTATTCCCATTAGCTCCTCCCAGAGAAAGTCCAATCAACACCTGGTGCAGCCAGAAAGTTGTTGTTCCTGTCTATCACATGCCTGACACTTCAGCTGTCGTTTTGTGGTCCCCGCTCGGGAAAACGCAATCAGACGGTCTGATCTCTAGAGGGCCAGCTGGAAAGTTCTTCTGGGCTGGGCCTTCCACTCCAGAGCAGAGATGAAAACAGCTCAGTCTTGGCGCTCTTTCTGCCAGCTGACTTGATATTTGAGCCGGTGTCAGGTCGACACGCTTCAAAACGGCACGTGCTCCTGGCCTCTCCCCTTCTTTCTTTTCCTCTATGTCCTCCCTGCGCTTCGGTGAGTGCTGGCGTGTTCCTCTCTGCCGCGTCTCTCCCCAATGGCGGTCGTCTGGAAAGACTTCCACAGAAAAGTGGGACTGTGGGGCGGTGCTATGTGCTCAGCCTTTCTCTCCCTCATCTGATCTCTCCTATCTTTTTTTTCTTCCTCCCTCCCTCTTTCCGTCAGTCTGTCCCTCCCCCTACCTCCCTCTGCCAGCAGGCACAGCGGTACGCGCACACACACACACACACACTAATACACACACATATGCATGAGTGAGTACAAACTCGCTGGAACCCCCCTCTCTCTGTCTCTCTTGTTAATACTCTTGCACACAGACACAAACACACATTCAGGCAGTCCAAGAGTAAACAGAGAGCAGCGAGGGAGAGGAAAGAGATAAAGAAAGAGCACAGCCACCAAGCCAGAGAGACAATGGAGAAAGGGAAAGGAAAGGATTTAGAAGTGGAGAGTAAGCACAGGCAGGAGAGGGGACACTGGGAGTAGAGAGGGAGTTGATGTTGATACCATGAGAAAGCATAAAGGCTTTCACATTTTTCCTGACTGACCTGTTTTTCATCTTGAATGTGACCTCTCCAGTTTATAACAACACAAAGTGAGGGGAGAGAAAAAGTGGCTGGGGGAAGAGAGACATTTGCCAAATCTTCCACAGCTCTTGCCAATCTGGGCTTGTGCCATCTCCCAGAGACGGAGGTGAGAGACGAAGCAACAACAGAGAAGAAAGACAGAAAAGATAATACAGCAGTCTCTTCCTGCTGCTCCTTTAAATGGGTTCCTCCTGCAAACAGTGCAGGAGTCATTATCCAGCTGCTTGCCTGCACCCAAGCAAAGCCTGGTAGATTAGTGCACTTACATAAACCTTCCACCAAAACTACTGCACATGCAACCACACACCGCATGGACCCAGCGCACAAAAACACAACCTTTGTGATACATTTCAGGCATGTACAAACAGCTGATGGGTTTAATGGAGAAGCGTCACAAAGCCTGCCCGTCTGGTGTCTGAGTAGTGCGGTCTCATCAAACTTAAAATCAAAACGGGCTGGCACTAAGAGACTCGAGTGCAGCTGTCCTGCCAAGAACTACAACGTCATTCAGATCTGGTTAGCCCAGGGGGATAAATACAATAGCATCAGGACACCTTAGCCTCTTCAGAAAAATATACATATCAAGTTCATGCCATAGAGTTACGCTATAAAGAAATATGAGGGACGAAGGTAACTGTGTTGAAGAAGGTTTGGGACTGGGGGAAAACCTATTTGGCAGGTGAGAAAGTGTTTTTTCCAACTCATAGAAAACATGAAGAACAGGTCCACCTCTTCAGCCTCACTGTACTGTAGCAGAAGTTCTGTTTTTGTGGTTACATAAGCCTTCATAGAAGCCCTGCTTCAGCTGAGCTGGCAGGCTAATCCTCTGCAATGGAGTGCCCCACTAATCCCACGGCAGGAGAAAGGAACTGAAGACATTAACCAGGATTACTACACAGGACCATGTTCAAGCGAGGCCAGCACCAGTTATCGCAAAATAACCAATGGCTGCTAACACAAAACCTCCTTTTACAGCAGGCGCTACACTGCCCGAAGCAGAAACACACTTACCCGGTAATAACGCTTGAGAGCAGCACTTATCTGCTGCCAAATAAATGAAGAACAATTTAAGAGCCACGCCGGACACAACAGCACGTGTGCCAATGGTCACAAAGCAGCTGCAGAAAATTCATGTAGTGATTTTCACAATTAAGAATTGACATTACAAACATGGCACAGTTGATAAGAATCAGAGCTAATATGCAACTGATGATTGACAAATATTTAATAGAAGTTTATTGTGAAAAACAAGCCACTGACCATGAGGATCTCATTCAATCAGTAACTGAGGTTAGTGCACGGCAGGTAACGACGACTATAAAACAAAACACACACACGGGGTGCTGGTGCTGGGGAAATGAGCAGAATGTCAGTGACCTCTGTGAATCTGCCACAGGCTTCTGGGTAATCTTCAGTGAGAGACAATAAACAGCCCAAGTTAATGACTGCTGCATTTGCAGGGGCAGTCTGATAACAGGGCAGACTTTACAGCTTTGATAAAAGACAAGCTGCTTTGACCCAGAGAGGCAGGGAAATGGCTCCAAAGAGCAACAAATGCCTTCCAGGCAGACTGACAAATACATGCGTAGACGCAACCTAGCAGCACGTGGCAACTGCCGCCCCACTAACAGGAAGTCACACCCGCACCAGTCGCCTCTGCTTTCAAACTGTGCCTCAGCTGTTAATGTTCATTCAGTTCGCAAGTCGTTGCAAATTAAATACAATCAAACTACACAAATTACATTTAAAAAAAATTCTTCTGCATTACCTTTTTTGGCAGTTTCCATCTCTTCTTCAGTCCAGCGAGAGCTTTCATTCATTTCCAAAGTGACTGTCAGGAAAAAAAAGAAAAAACAAAGAAAAAGAGAACCACTAAATTAGAGAAGGCGGGAGGAAGCGGGGGAGTGGACAGTTGTCACAAAGTCAGTTAGGGAGTGACTGACAGAAGGAAAGGAAGGGGAGAGACACATTAAAAAAGAAAAAGGAATAAGAGGGTGGGGGGCAGAGCGGCTTGTGCTGCACACCAGTGAAGCACTGCAGCATGGGTTGCTAGGGACTATTTGTTTTAGGCGAGAGGAAGCAGGAAATCCAAGGAGAAAAGTCAGTTAATGATTATAGACATAACAACTGGCTTCTTTCCCTGCACAGGCTATAAGCCAGGCTGTCCCTGTGTGGGAGACAATGGAGCTGGAGTACTTGAGCGTACTCATATGGACATATGAAGGGCGCAGTAGGCAGGTTAGAAACACTAATAGCAGAACAAACAGTGGCAAGGGTGAAGCTGCTGACTGTGAACCAAACAGCCTCTGTCACCTGGGGATTCCCTGTGACTAAACCTGTACTGCAGGAACGACTGCAGCATGCAAACAACTGCTGACACATCAACAATCCTGTGCTGGCCTAAAGCAAGCGTGTTAGAGTAGACATAGCTGAAATACCATCAAAAGAAAAAGGACATTGCTGATACATAGTGTTTTTTTCTTTAGTAACACTTCTGTGGCCAGCAGGAATTAAGACTACGCACATGATCAAATGAAGTCAAATTTACAGTTTCATTTCCATCGTGTCATTATTCTGTGTCGATTTGGCCAAAAGTAATGAGCGCAAGACAAGTGAAATAAAAAAACAAGGACAAAAGAACAACAGTACACTCTTGTGGTGAGACACAGGAGGCTACGGCTAAATCAAAGTTGACCAAAGTCACTGTTCTTCTCGATACAAGAGGAATATTTATCTGTTAATATTCTCAACCTGTCATTGCTCTGGACAGCAAAGTTGCTTTATAATAAATAGTTTTTATTTAACAATGCTGATTTACTAACATTTGATTAAATAATGAATTCTGTTACAATGTTTGCCTTTTCAAATTAGAATAGCCAACGTGTCTTTACAAAAATGCTTGCTTACTGATTTACAAGACAACATGAGACATGACGTGTTTGCATTTAGAGCAGAATAATTTTAGACTAACCGAGCTCGTTGTTGAGTGGAGGTGTGGTGGTTTCCTCCCCTTCACTGGTCATTGAGCGGGTAACCCGGCCTTTGCGGCGGCCCTGACTGTTGGCAGTACGTCTCCCTTTGACAGCCACGGTGGGTTCTTTGTCCTCTGCATCTTCTCCTGAAGTATCGTCCCTAATTTAAGAAAATGTGAACACCGTCAACAAAGCATGAGAAGAGAAAAACAACAATTGCTGTATGTTGATTTTGTTGCAGTCTGTTGTTACAAACACAATACACAAAGTTTATTACAGAAAATTACATTAAATAATTAAATTTTGTTTTCTGGTCTTCTATACCAGCAAAAAATAAATAAATAAAATTGTATCCTAAATTGTCCATAAACACAGAAAACATGAACAAATATGTATTATTGTTATTTTGTTTTTGTTAAGCATCTGGGTTGGGAAAAACTACTGCTCTGCTGTTAAATGTCACAAAAAAACAAGACAACACACTTTGCATTCATTTTATGGAGACTAATAAATACACAGTAAGTGAACTTGATGAATTTCAGTAAAAGGTGTACAGTAGTCCCTTGTTTATCACGGGGGGTTCCATTCTCAGTCCTCCCACGATAAGTGAAAAACCACGAAGTAGGAATAGTAGTACAAGTAGTAAGTAGTAGTTTATTTTAGTATTTATATATATGGTAAATGGACTGCACTGATATAGATCTATCATCAAAGCTCTTTACAATCTGTGCCCTCATTTACCCATTCATACAGCACTTTACTATATATGTACAAAGATAAATCAGTGCTTTACCACATTCGTACACCGATGGGACACACATCGGAGGCAATGAGGGGTTCAGTGTCTTGCCCAGGGACACTTCGGCATGTGACTTCTGGTGGAAGAATTAAACTCCCAACTCTTACTGCTCTAACCACTCAGCCACAGCCGCCCATATATTAAGGCTTTATAAACCCTTCCCACACTCTTGCAATATTCTAAACAATGTTTCTACACTAAATGCTCTAAAAGAGCACAGCATGTCATGATCTCTGCTCCCTGCCACCTGCCAGCGCTCTCGGCCACGTCTACTTCTCCGCTGCAGAGTGGAGATCATGACATGCTGCAGGAGGGAGCTTCTCCCTGCACCTGTGGGCTGCACAAAGGTGCAGCAGGTGCTAAATAATTTAAAATAATTTATTTTAAATAAAAAAATCCGTGACGATTGCGTGGCTCATCCAACAATCAGTCAATTGTGTGTCAGGTCTAATCTTACTTTGAAAAACCTCGAAAGTTGAACTGCGTAGTAGAGAGGGACTAGAGTATTACTAATCAACCAAAGAATCTTTTTCCATCAAAGAAACTGGCCATAAATATAGATCATAATTAGCAAACAAGACCTTCACTGTTTGACAGCAATATTTATTTTCAATTCAACATATTTCCTCCAAGCTTCTCTAAAATACTGTTCTTACAAGAATGGGATGGACACATCAGTAAGAACTTTTGCTATAGTTGCGACTACCACAGAGGATTTACAGATTTCAAGGTGAAAATATAATTGCGGGCTTTGATATAGAGTAATTATAAAAGGATAGTAGGGGGGAAATGAATAGTTAAAAAAACTTGAACAACAAAGTTTAATATTCATATATTAGCTGTGCAGCTACTCCATTAGTCTCCAAAACTTAATTCAAAGTTGAACTCCTAAGCACCATGTTCTGTTAAACACTGCATGGAGTTTAGTGCCAAGAAGTACTTTCTTGATTTGAAAAAAATCTTGCAGAATAAATCAAATTGTGAACATGAGCTATAAGCCTACATTGTTCTTTCATTCCTTTTTTCCCTAGGATAATTTATTAAGTGTCAGCACAATGGCATGCTAGCAGATAGCCACTGAGCTTGAACCTCCTGCTCTTTCATTCATCTTCCTCCCACTATTAATCTTGCTGGCGGGAAGCTAGTAGCAGTCCAAATATAGGCGAGCCAGCTGTGCCAGGGGGGCAGCGGAGTGTGCAGAGTCACAGAGTCCCTGCCTCGGAACAGGGAGGCAGCAGGCAAAGGTTGGTTGTCATCTTTTTTCCCAAATCCAGCTGCTTGTAAATATGAGCTGACGTTGCTTGAATCAGCGGTGGTGTTCAGCCTCAGCTGACATCAAACAGAGCTCACAAACATGCAGAGACGGTCTCTTTTTAGGCAACATAAGGCAGTGATGATCCCATCTGTTTCGTCTCTTTTGTCGGTACTTTTCCGAAAGATTGTTTTATTTTGATTACTGCGCACACCTGCCCGCACACAACTACTTCCATACGCACAAACTTTTCAAACCGACAGCTAGTTTAATTACACTTCTTATTTCAACACTAAAACAAGTTTAGAAACATAAATGTTTCATTAAAAATTAGAACTAGTGTCAAATTAGAACGGGGCAACAGTCAAAGGAAAAACAGAATGACTAAGAGCTTGATTTTGGAGGTGAGGAAGTAATAAAATGAAACTTCACTTTTTTGGGGGGTGTTAATTAAGCAGGATGATGTAAAAAATGAAAAAGAATGTCAAGTAGTCCTGCCTCATAAAATGTGCAAACTGTTAGAAATGATTTACTCAGTTCAAGTTATTCTTCTCATTCTGTCCGTGTGCTTTCCTGAAGAGTAGTTGTTGCCACAATGTTTTAATTGCTACAGAATAACTTTACTTGTGAAAGAGTACATTAAAAAAAACTTACTTCATTCCATCTTCTTTGTCTTCAGCCTCATTTTTCTCTTCATCCCGCTCTGCCTCTTTTTCTTTTTCCTCTTTCTCCTTGTCCTCCAGGCTGCTTCTGCTCACTTGTTGTTGTTGCTGCTGTTGTTGCTGCTGTTGCTGCTGCTGCTGTTGCTGGCCATGCTGCTGCAAGACAGAAATAAGAAAACACTCGTATTCAAAGATGATCACAAATAATCCAAACAATGTTTCCTGTAAATGGTGCCAATAGATTATTATAAAGTAAGTTCATCAAAGATTTGGAGTATGGTGGAAGCAAATATACTGCCTGGCTAAAAAAAGTACAATAAACATTACACCGGCTGGCATGCTGCTGATATAACTACTATCAACCTGCAGTCATTTGAAACAGTCGCGAGAAAAGAAACGTTGAAGAACAATTCCCATTTTATTTGTTGCAAATACAACACGCACCCTGAACTGACAATCTAAACACATTTTGTGCTGAGCTAAACAAAACAGGATCTGAAAGTACTGAAATTATAGCAGCACATTTCTACCGTATAACTGCAGCTCTTCAAGTACAGAGACACTTCCTGACCAGTTTCCTGAACGTCTGGGCTTTCAGGGTTAGAGTTCAGACTACTACAGACCAAAGAGCTTAAATATAGCTTCATACTGATCAAGCCGATAGTAATCCATCATGTATACTTTCACTTTCTTTTTGATGTCTACATTTTCAATTTTATCCAAGAGCAACAAATCTTTGTTGTTTTTTTTTAGATTTGCCCCTAAAAATAATAAACAACATAATATTACACACAGATCCTGCTGGTAAGTGAACACTGGGAAGAGCAAGATAGCAGAGGAAGAAATGAAATCTAAATGCATTTGTATTCAGAAGATATCTTTTGAGTCATTTACTATCACTGAAGGCCCCATTCTTCTTTTGAAATTATTAATGTCCTCTTCCTTTCCTTTCAAAAGAACTCAAACAGAAAATAAGTCACGTAGTCGGTCTTCTAGTCTTATTTAACAGATTTTAACCTCGTCAGTCAGAAGACCATTTGATTGACTTTAAAAGTAAATATTTGTAGTGTGTCTAAACATGTTCTGAGCTGATCTAGTGGCGCCTCATAGTAAAGTGTGGTTAAGAATCAACAAACTACACAAACAGTGATTATTTCAATGTGTGGCACTGCCCCATCTGTTCCTCCTCTGAGAGTACATTCTTCTGTCACTGTAAGCTAATGGTCCAAACATTTAATAAAAAGACACATGGCAACATAAAGTGCAGGTTCATCTGAAAAGACACTATCTGTATTCACACAAGGAAAGCTCATCGGTAAAAGTGCCATTTCAAGAATTCCTATAAAGTGATGAAGTCTGATGGCTAGCACCCATCAAGAAAATGTAACTACAATAAAGGTTTAAAACACATGAACAGTGAAAACACCAGTTCATATGTGAGGCTCACTGAATTATATCAATTAATTAGCACATCTGACTAACCTTTGATAGTCCTAATATAACTCATGGTAGTGCAAATAAACTAGTTTAACTTAAAACAGCTCCATACAGCTGACCATGGCTACATTTAAACAGGACACAATATTTAAAAAAAAAAGCAGATGTCTCACTTTTAGTAGTTTTCAGAATGTTGAAATCTTTTTCCTGCTGCATTCACTGACCAGATATCCTGTACCAATCACTATTACATGCCCAGTGAACTGCCTTGTGTTTCAAAGTGAACACATATGTTGATGTCGCAGCAACATCTTTCATACTGTTCAACCAGATAAAAATTTGAACAAATACGTATTACACGTGGTTATTTATTTAAGAGAATACCTGGCTTCTTCCTCGCCGTCTGATGTTCCTTCGTACTATGTTCTTGTAGTTTTCATTCTTTTTGGTCAAGTAGTAAAAGAGCACACACTCTGCCACCGTCTGAAACAAAAAATAAACCATGACGTTTCACTTCCTGTAAAGGCGAGTTCACTCCAAAAACTAAAATATAAACACAAAAACAAATGTAATACCATACCTTCCTCTCTAAAAATGATGCAATCAGACCAAAGTTTTTGGGATGCTGGATGAACCTTTGGGAGAAGACCAAATATAATAAATATAAAATGACTTAAAGGTTCTAAAAGTAGAAAAATAAAAATACATGAACAACCTGGATTAGATTAAATACAATGCTCTAAATAAAGATATTTTCAATCAATAAAAATGTCAAAAGTGTCAATGTATTGTATAAAAATACTGCAGTCACAAGTGAATACAGAGCATCTGAAGGAGTCTGAAGCTCTTTGCAAGCTGGTATCTTGCTGTCATCAGTTTTACTGCGATCTTGAACTGATGTGGCAGATATAAACATCCTCTCTCAATTCTCATAAAAGGGGAAGATTCACTTCCTTACCAACAATCCAATGACCCTTTACCAGTTACATTTCACAGAGAGCAAAGCACACATTACTGCTCATTACATTTGTTTAAAAGGAAGGCAACAACACCTTTGTCTTCAAAATGATAATGAAAAAACATATCAAGCATTCAGCAAGAATTTAAATTGTCATACATTCATATTAGGGCTGAGCGATATCTCGATATTTTAAAAATATCGAGATAATTTCATACGCGATATGAGATGGGACTATATCATCTATTTCGATCTTTCTATGTTGGGTTATAATTAGACTTGAAAATCCGTGTATTTCTTCTATTTCTGCGTGTCTGCTCCACCAACTTCAGGCGGCCCCTCCTTCCCCCTCACATGCTGCTTCACATACGCTTACTTACTAACGTTGTGAAGGCGGCGCAGCTGAAGAGGATTATTATTTAATATATGTAACTAGTATATTTTTTAGACATTTATTTTGTACAGTTACAGAGGTTTGTTAATAAATGTGTCTGTGTGACAATTGGGACAAAGCTTTGACTATGAAATATATTTTTGTTATTACTTTATGGAAAGAAAAGAACATTTAGATATACATCGTATATCGCCATTCATCTTAAAATATAGAGCTATTAATTTTGGTCCATATCATCCAGCCTTAATAAATATATATTTAGAATATCATGAAAAAAGTTGATTTATTTTAGTAATTCCATTCAAAAAGTGAAACTTGTATATTATATTCATTCATTACACTCAGACTGATATATTTCAAACGTTTACTACTTTTAATGTTGAAGATTATAACTGACAACTAATGAAAACCCCAAATTCAGTATCTCAGAAAGAGAATATTATTTAAGACCAATTAAAAAATATATTTTTTAAAAATATTGGCCAATTGAAAAGTATGAGCATGTGCAGCACTCAATATTTAGTTGTTGCTCCTTTTTCCTGGATTACTGCAGTAATGCTGCGTGTCATGGAGTCATCAGTCTGTGACACTGCTCAGGTGTTATGAGAGCTCAGGTTGCTCTGATAGTGGTCTTCAGCTCTTCTGAATTGTTGGGTCTGGTGTATCACATCTTCCTCTTCACAATACACCATAGATTTTCTATGGGGTTAAGGTCAGGTGAGTTTGCTGGTCAGTTAAGAACAGAGATACCATGGTCCTTAAACCAGGTACAGGTAGCTTTGGTACTGTGTGCAGGTGCAAAGTCCTGTTGGAAAATGAAATCTGCATCTCCATAAAGTTGGTCAGCAGCAGGAAGCAGGAAGTCTCTAAAACTTCCTGGTATATGGCTGCGTTGACCTTGGACCTCAGAAAACACAATGGACCAACACCAGCAGATGACATGGCACCCCAAACCATCAATGGACTGTAGAAACTTGACACTGGATCTGAAGCAACATGGATTCTGTGCCTCTCCTCTCTTCTCTTCTCTTCCTCCAGACTCTGGGACCTTGATTTCCAAAGGAAATGCAAAATTTACTTTCATCAGAGAACATAACTTTGGACCACTCAGCAGCAGTCCCAGGCGAGACGCTTCTGATGCTGTCTCTTGTTCAAGAGTGGCTTGACACAAGGAATGCGACAGCTGAAACCCATGTCTTGCATATGTCTGTGTGTGGTGGTTCTTGAAGCACTGACTCCAACTGCAGTTTGCTCTTTGTGAATCTCCCCCACATTTTGGAATGAATTTTGTTTCACCATCCTCTCCAATGTGCGGTTATCTCTATTGCTTGTACAATTTCTACCACATCGCTTCCTTCCCTTCACCTTTCTATTAATGTGCTTGGACACAGAGCTCTGTGAACAGCCAGCCTCTTTAGCAATGACATTTTGTGTCTTGCCCTCCTTGTGCAAGGGGTCAATGGTCGTCTTTTGGACAACTGTCAAGTCAGCAGTCTTCCCCATGATTGTGTAGCCTACAGAACTAGACTGAGACCATTTAAAGGCCTTTGCAAGTATTTTGAGTTAATTAGCTGATAAGAGTGTGGCACCAGGTGTCTTCAATATTGAACCGTTTCACAATATTCTAATTTTCTGAGATACTGAATTTGGGGTTCTATTTCATCCCTCCTGACCGCCAGAGGGCGGTGCTGAAAGCACTGAATGTTCCCTTCGCGCATGCGCTGATTCGAGTAATAATACCAACGGAGTCACAGGTGTGACACGGATGACCAATCAGAGGCTATATAGCCCGACGTCATCCGCTGCTCTGCTCCTATTTTCTTCTCGCGCGCGGTTCAATTCAGGGCTTCAGCCCTTTGGACCTTTTCTGAACTTTTTACCGTCGTCGGAAGCCCGACTGCCCGTCTGCGGGAGTAGCGTGTTCGCCCTCCTAGGGCTGCGACGGTTTAACCCTGTTCAAAGGTATTTCTGCTGTTTCGTTGGGAACTACGGCGGTTTCCGCCTCTCCCAAATTACAGCGTCTGACTACTATGTGTGTGATTCAACACCGGTGAGTAGTTTTCCTTATATTTCGCCGTTGGTTAGCGGTAGCGTTCGCTCCGCTCACGCTTGTTAGGAGACCTCCAACCGCGTGGTCGGCTGGACTGTGCTCCGACGTTGTTTATGACTACTATGTGTGTGATTTAACACTGGTAAGTAGTGGTTTTTTGCTTGTCCTCTTACCAGCTGAGCTAGCGGTGCTAGCCTCTCTGAGTTTTCACTTTGTTTTATTTGGTGAAGGCGAGTGTTCTCACCCCCTCTCCCAATTGTCCTCTTACCAGCTGAGCTAGCGGTGCTAGCCTCTCTGAGTTCTAACCTTGTTTTAATTGGTGAAGGCGAGTGTTCTCACCCCCTCTCCCAATTGTCCTCTCTTACCAGCTGAGCTAGTGGTGCTAGCCTCTCTGAGTTTTCACTTTGTTTTAATTGGTGAAGGCGAGTGTTCTCACCCCCTCTCCCAATTGTCCTCTTACCAGCTGAGCTAGCGGTGCTAGCCTCTCTGAGTTCTAACCTTGTTTTAATTGGTGAAGGCGAGTGTTCTCACCCCCTCTCCCAATTGTCCTCTTACCA